CTATATCGATGGCTGAGTGGAAGATCGACCTATCTCGGCAGCCAGTTCGAAAACATTCTATCTCAAAAAACTTTTCAAGAACGTCCTATTTCAGAATTCGTCTCAAAAACGCCCTATCTCAGCTGCCGATTCAAAAACGCCCTATATCAGCATATTTTCAATACATTTTGAAGTGCGATAGGGCGTTTTTGAACCGAATTTTGAGATAAGGTGTTTTTCAATAAAATTCTGAAATAAGGCGTTCTTGAAAAGATTTTTGAGATAGAGCGTTTTCGAACTGGTAGCCGACATAGGTCGATCTTCCACTCAGCCATCGATATGCTATTGTACGATGTTAACAGGTTTATTTTTCTATAAGTATCAGTACGTTTTCAGTGTATTCATCTATGTGATATTAAACACATGTATGTAGGTAGCTATTTGTAATGTTTTTAATGTTCACATTATTATGTTATTTACAACTGAAATAAAATATGTATGTTGCTTCTTTTTTTTACCAACATAATTTGATTGGTATTGAGCCAAAGTGTTAATAATTTTAAAAGCGGTTTATTTGATTAAAGATAATGCAAGCATTTTGTAAATATGCGTAAGACCCTTCAAAGAGAACGGATAAAGGATATCGTAGAGAATACTAAATACTTCACCGATAAAATAGAGGTAACAAAATTTCCAGACTTGCTTGGTGCACTTATTAAATATGAAACCGACACTATGATGAAAAAGAACAAGTTAACGAAGGAAATGATGCTTTGGTTATGAATAATGTTACTGGGAAGGGAATACACTGGGGAGATGATGTATAGATTCCAAAAGCACACATATATAGACACACATATCACTCATTTAATTCAATACTGTCATAACTCAAAAAACCAAAAGCTCGAGAAAAATAGCTTTAAAGTTTTGAATTTACATATTGAGCCCTAAGCGCCAAAATAACGTAAGCGATATTTTTTAAAATTTTCTTTTTGATGTAGAAATATTCCTAGAGCATCTAAATGCATTTCTGTATCAAAAAGAAAATTTTGAAAAAAATGTCGCTTACGTTATTTTGGCGGTTAGGGCTCGATATGTAGTATTTCTGGGCACCGAAATGTTTACCTGGAATTTGAATAATTTTGTNGGATAAAGGATATCGTAGAGAATACTAAATACTTCACCGATAAAATAGAGGTAACAAAATTTCCAGACTTGCTTGGTGCACTTATTAAATATGAAACCGACACTATGATGAAAAAGAACAAGTTAACGAAGGAAATGATGCTTTGGTTATGAATAATGTTACTGGGAAGGGAATACACTGGGGAGATGATGTATAGATTCCAAAAGCACACATCCATAGACACACATATCACTCATTTACTTCAATACTGTCATAACTCAAAAAACCAAAAGCTCGAGAAAAATAGCTTTAAAGTTTTGAATTTACATATCGAGCCCTGACCGCCAAAATAACGTAAGCGATATTATTTTTAAAATTTTCTTTTTGATGTAGAAATATTCCTAGAGCATCAAAATGCATTTCTGTATCAAAAAGAAAATTTTGAAAAAAAATGTCGCTTTCGTTATTTTGGCGGTTAGGGCTCGATATGTAGTATTTCTGGGCACCGAAATGTTTACCTGGAATTTGAATAATTTTGTTCGAACAATTATATTCTCGCTGTTCCTATTGCAAACATAGAAGAACAGGTAGCGGTCATTTCTGCATACTTAACTCGATTTTGTAATATGTATTTTGTATTATGCCACCATTGAACTAAATGACCGACATTGTATATTTTATTTCTAGGTAAAAAAGAAATCACTGAATAAAAATGTTATAATAATGACACTTCTTAAAGTATAACATATACTCATGATTATATACATAGTTTGTCAATGAAGGTGAGGAACATTTGTTACAACTACAAACTTTGCACCACTGATTCGTTGGTTATGAAATATTTCCTACAAAAATGGCGTAATGCTTTCTGTTTAGCTCACCTCTCTAGTTTCCTGTGCTGCTTGTTGTTGGGGTTGCATCTGTTGTTGTCTGTTTTCTTGTTCAAATTTGTCGTAAGTCAGATCACAATTCTCATTTTCTTCAAACTCGTTTTGACTACTTGAAATACTTAAATTGTCCATTTGACCACACATTTTTGGCCACTCAGGATTACTTTTGGCCAAAGACTCAACCTGCATCCAAAGCTCTTCGCGTTGCGACATCTTTTCGCGTTCCCTAAAAAGTCATCACATGTGTCAATGCTACTAATTTCAGTCACGAAGTGTCGATAAATAAAAAGCTATACTTACAGCTGCTTTTCCTGACGGTAATTTCGACTACACTCGTCGAAAAGACGTTGATTCATCTCCATGAACAGCTTAAGTGCATTATAAATAAGTCCATGTATCGTTTTGTTCCAATGCGTTTTTGAATTTCTATTTAATGCCGGAAACATTATCGGCAATATGACTTGTGAATTATCAGCGATCAGCGACATTATATACTCGTTATTCCAGTAGTAAAGCGCACGTTCGGCGACTTGAAAATGTGGTGACGACACACATTTGGCAATTTGCCGAAACAGCGGTTCCATAACTTTTTGAAATTCAGCTGGTTCGATGACATCGAGTAGCTCCTCCAGTTCATTTAAAAACATCACTTCTTTGGGACTATGTGTTTTGGGCCAGAACTTCAAAAGACTCCTTTAAAGTGAAAAAATTATTTGTTTAATAGGCGTAAAAATTACTGCACCTGACCACACTGCGGAAATAAAAGTGAAACTTCTGTCGATTTATTTTTTGTTCGTTTCCTTCTCAATCTCAATCTTATAGCCTATTTCCACCAAAAGCTTAACAGGTAAGTTGCACGAATTTTCGCATGGGGTACATAATCGGCAGGGTTTATTTTTTACTTTCTTCCTTTTTACTTTTGTTTGCTTGTACATAACATGAGCAATTACCCCTTTCAGGTTGTAATCTCCTTTTTGCAATAGGCAACTGCAGTTAAGGCTTGGTGGAAATGAACTATTGATTTTAATTTTTACCTTGGCCTTAATCGTAATCTTACTTTTAAACTTAACACAAAGTGGTACGCTACCACGCTTCGATAATTCAATATTAATATAGGTGGCAAGAGAGAGAGAGAGAGAAATAAGAAGGAAGAGAGATGCACTCCCGTTGCAAACAAAGTGTTACATTTTCGTGACGATTTTCTAATTCATTACCACCACTCTAAAGTTTCACTTCAAAAAGTGTCTTCTTGTCTAACCTTATGACTGGCTCTGATAGGCTTGGATCTTTCTCCAGGAACTGCACTACACAGTATGTTAGCTGCGGATGATAAACAGACAGACTTTTCGCTTTGTGCAACGGTAAGAGTACTTTCAGCAGAAATTGTTTGTGCTCCTCTTTTAATGGCAATGCAAAACCATTGATAATACTACCGAGGATTTCCAAGAGTTCAGCAATGCCATTGTGATGTTCGGTTTCATAAATAAAACTGCAAGAGAAAATTTGCAATAAGCATGGCACACACACATGGACATATGCACATATGTATGTATGTATTTATGTAGATTGGTTCATACCGATAGAATACGTTATTGATTTGCTTGCGTATAAATGCTCTCAAACCCAAGAACTTCCCATAGATCCGATGCAGTACAGTCTTTAGGAAGTCACGTTCGCGTGGATCCTCCGAATCAAAAAGTTCCAGCAGTTGCAACACAAATTGATGATCAATATAACGTTTGGCGATGTTCGGCTGAAAATCTGGCGATTCAAGAAAACGCAAAAACAGTTCATAAACAAATTGCAGATGAGGCCAAGATGATTCTAACGTCGGCTCATCTTCTTCCGGATCAAATTCAGCACCGTTAGGATTTGACGATGGCGGTAATGTGCGAAATAAGTTTACTGCAAACTAAAAATGAATTTTTAGTAGTAATTTTGTTTAAATTAAATAAAATGAAAAGCGAAATGCGATTTAATAAGATATACTATATTCACCATATTTATTGCCTCCGGATATATTGCCTCCGTGATAACCCCATTCTGATTGGACAGATACTCCACCATTTCGTGCAGCGCCGCTCGTTTCACTTCCTTCCATTTTAGGTCGCTTAATGGCTCGGAAAAATCGAAGAGCGTACAGCATTGTCTTAACTTTTGTATCAAAAGTTGCTCACGTTCATTAGCAGGTGTTTCTGTGATTAAGGTAAAAAAAAAAATCGGTTAAACTTCTTAATTATTAATCACTGTTGTAAGAGTCGTATGTGGTTCATATTTGAATTTCTGATTTATGTGCATACGTTCAAACAATGTTTGCATACTTGAATATGCTTTTTCGTTTGCTTAAAGCTGCGCATTTGTATAAAAAGATACAGATTTTTTTGAATATTCACAACGTTTTTCAAGTTATATTTTTTGGTTATTTTCTGTAAAAATATTGTTCAAGTTTTAGTTTATAAAAATTTAAGAAAATTTAACAAATTTTCATCAAAATTTGGAGTTTTTGAAGTGAAACTTCTTACACGAGTTCGGAGATGAATATTTAACTCCAACAGGTCTATTCTGCGCTGGTAATAAAGAGTTTGTAACCGGTAAATAAAGTTCCTGTCAATTTTTAAACCCTTTTCGCATTCTGTGTACTCTTGTAACCGGTAAATTTTGTTACCCTCTCATAAGCTGGTAACAAATTATTGCCCCGTGAAATATGCAATGCCAGGATTTGCACAATTCTTCATAGCTGAATTGCTGAATATTTTAACTGCATTACCAACGTACCTAGAATCGCGGTGACAAGAACTGGTAACATTTTTTGGTAATACAATTTTCCGGCTACAAAATCTTCAGTAACGTGCAGAATAGACCAGCAAGTCATAAAATCTGCATCGTTCTGTCGATTTTCAAAAATGAGGTGTCACATCAAAGGCCTCGTCCTTCGGGTGTGCAACATAGCTTAAGTTCCATGAAAGGCGTTGCCACATGTTAGAAAATCGCATTCAAAATTTCTCTGCCGCGAGGGTTGCGTTAAATAATTAACACCGAGTCATAAAATCTGTATCGTTCGTTCGATTTTAAAAGATGAGGTGTCAAATGACAGGGCTTGACCAGTAGATGTGTAATATGATTTTAGTTTTTTATAGGGTTGCCATATATACGAAAATCAAATTCAAATTATTTATTAAAATAAATAAAGTATCCCAATATGGGTATCAAAAGAAATGGTTTTGAATAAAGATGAAGATGAAGATGAAGATGGAGACGAAGATGAAGATGAAGCTGAAGATTAAGGCGAAGATGAAAAAGATTAAGATGAAGATGATTTCATGTACATGAAGATGACGATGAAGATGAATGATAAAGATGAAAATAAAGATAAGTAGACTGTTATGATCGACCTGTAATTCTCGCAGCAGATTTCCACGTCAACTTTTCACTGGCTAAATCTGATGAACCGACAAAATTTTTTAAAGAAATTTAAAATTAAATTGATTTAAGGGATTCACAAGATACCATAAAAGTCGTATTATGAAATTTCACACCGTTGAAAACTTTACGACATACGACAATACGGCACTTACTACACCTTGTGAGCAGTGTTGATAATTATATTATTATTAAAATTGTAGCAAAAATTTAGAATGTACAATCGACAACAATCCTTGAGCGATGTTGTATATGTTTGAAAACAGTGGTTCATTTAAAACATTTTGGTGATTCTTACTTTTTCCCAAAACTCACAAATATTGAAGTTGTTCCCTAAGTTCTGCGTTGCTGCCTTCTATTCTAGCAATTATGCACTTCTGAAACACCCCTAATAAGTATATTAGTGCAACAATAATTTACACGTTGCCTGATAATACAGAAGAAGGATAAAATATTACATTAGAACCAGGTGTACACTTCCATTTGTGTCATTTGTGTATACTTAATGCGTACATAGATATGTACTTTTTCTGAAAATCATCGAAATCGGTTGACTATAACATATAGCTCCCATACAACAGATTGTTAAGAAATGTGGTTTTGCGTTATAACTCATATTTTATTTCGTAATATTTTTTTTTATTTTTTTAGGTTGTACACTATTTGGACCTGAACTTGGGTTCTTCTCAATCCCATTCTGCCACATTTTGGCAGTTTGTATTGTACGGCTTTTAATAAATTTGTTGTCCTGTGAAGCTGTGGTTACAGTCAAAGTGACTGCTTTCCGTATTAATTGATAAAAACCCATAATTCAATAATAAAAGGTTTGCTCAGAAAACAGTTTTCTCGCTCCCTCTTGACAAAATCGGCTCCCTTAGCAAGGCACTGTGTGTGGGTTCGAGTGTGTGTGCAAAGCTTTTGTAAGGGAAATAAGGGAGTGTCAAAACTATAATAGGTTTGTATAGTAACCAATAGTCAGTACTAATTTGTACTGGAACCTGCAAATTTTTACTGGAAAAGCGTATGATAACCCTAAAAATTTGCAAGAGAGCACTGAATCGAGAGCGTAACAACACGGGAGAGCTGCAAATTCTTGCTAGTGAAATTTCTACTAGCAGAAATTAGCTAGCAGAAGAAGAAGAAGAATAAGTGTAAAAAGCCGCCATTTGTTGAATTGGTTCAGCACAAACAAAAGTAAAATGAGTAGAAATCAAAATATTAATGATGTACTGGACTGTATAAGTGCGTGTGTGTAAAGCAAAGCGTTTAAAAATGATTTATAAAGAGTAAAATGTTTACAGCAGAATATCAAAACAGTGCAACAGCTGTTCACTTGCAAGTTTTTGCTAGTTTTGTGTTCATTAACTTTTTCTGCTAGTTTTCTGTTCTTCTCAATTTTACGCTCTATTTTGCTTTTACGCTCTCGCTGCAATGTTTTACTGGAGAAGTTACTATACAAACCTA